TGGATAAACATAATCAAATAGAGAATGAACATCTCATTTTAAAATATAAACAATCTAAAATATAATTAGAATAATTATCGAGTTCCAACAAAATAAATAATTATTATCTTTATAAAAAAATTATATTATTCTAAATATAAATTACTTCGTTATTGTACATAAATTAAATTATAAAAAAATTGAATTAAAAAATTACACAAAAAAATTACACAAAGTAAATTACAGAAAGTAAATTACAGGAAATGGAAATACTGGAATTTAAAGTATTGGAAATTAAATGACTGAAAGTAAAGTACTGGAAATTAAATGACAGAAATGTAAATTGCAGTAAAATAAAGACAGAAATGTAAAAGACTGAAATGTAAAGAACTGAAATGTAAAGACTGAAATGTAAATGACTTAAATATAAAGACTGAAATTGGACAAATAAAACAAAGGAAAATGGTTAATAAAATGATGTGATAAGTGTTATTTGTAATAAGGTTAATAAAATAACACTTATCACTTATCATAACGGGTTGGTCACCTCATCCTAACAGCATAACTTGGATTGGATATGGTTTTGATCAACTTGAATCGAAGTCTTGTTCAAGTTTTTTCTTCTTTGATCTTTCCATCGACAAAATGTCGTCTCTTGACAGAAATCCAAATCTTCCATCTCTAATTTTCAAGACTCAAGCTCTATTAGTTCCGCTTGAATGGTTCTCTCTTGATCTTTCAACTTTTGAATATAATCAATTGTCTTTGATTATCGAAGCCTGATCCATCTTTAAAAATTCTAGAGACCAAGTTATGATTAGGCTTGATTTAATTTGAAAATATTTATTTTATTGCATTGGTCATTCCTGGTAGAAAAAGCCCACGTCAAAATTCAGATGTGTTTCTTAGGCCGCTAATAAACGATCTAAAGATGTTGTTTAGGGAGGGCGTTCTTACGTATGATGCTTATCGTAAGAATAACTTCAAAATGAGGGCTATACTACTAGGACCGTCCATGTTCGACGGTCCATGGGGTCACTTTGGGGATGTCCTGTGCAAGTAGCAGTAGGTCCTCGTATGGTTCTCCCAATGAGGAGGTATGTTTCATATAATTGTAATATATGTATATTATTTTTAACCATTTATCATCTAAGATTGTTCTAAGTTTGTCAAATGTTGAATAATTTCAGTTAGAAGCGTTGAAAGAGAAGGTGGCAGGAGAACGGAGAAAAAAAGAAGACTTGGAGCGTGTACAAAAGACGCAAGTAGATCAGTTAGTTCAGGAAGCAGAGGAGAATCGTCGGCAGAAGAAGTTGACCAAGCAGTTCGAGGCATTCATGACACAATACTTGGTTGTAAACCCTAGCTCCCCCTCCCCCTCTTTCCTAGTCTTAGGATGTGCATGTTAGAACTTTTGTATATGAAGTTGAGATATTAATTTTGAGTATAATCTCCGATTTTATTGTAAAAAATGGTCTTGTTTAAATTTTGCAATTTATTTTGAAAATCTAGATTGATTTATTATACATAAGATTAGTTTTTTTAAATTAGCAAAACACAAAGATTAAATCCACAAACAATTCACTCTCTAAACTATTAAGAAAAGAAATAGGAGTGATTATAAGATGAATAATTAAAATAATGTAATTTGGTCTTGTAACGGCCGGCTATCCAATCTTGAACGCCAGCCAGATGCAAAAAGCCAAAAAAGCAATATGTTATATGCGCGTAGAAGCTGGTGTTTGTGAAATAATTTGGTATTAGTCTCCATCATCAAAAGGAATACAAATTTGGTTTTATTCAAGCCAACTAATTTTGACTGCTTCCTTGTCCTTTCATCCTTGGCCTTGTGTCTCATTTGGTATAAACTATTAATTGCATGCATGTTTATCATCTTTTAATAGTTTCAAAGTCTTCTTGTACCTATCTGCACTTGATATAAATCAATTTTTGACACCTTAATTATATATTTCTTTTCTTGTTTTGTTGGAAAAATTAATTAATTAATTATATGAAATAGGATATATATTACCAAATTTCAAGATTAATTAATTGCATTAAACTATATCTAACCTTATTCTACAACTTCATACATTGGATGATAATGTTTTTAACTAACAAGAACAACATTATATTTTACAATCCATCTAATCTTCATTAACGCATTTTCAAGTCACCAACTTTTCTACAACTTAATGTGAAAAAAAAAAAGTAAAATAACAAAAAAAAACTAATTTCTACAAATTAAGGAGAGAAGAAAAAAGTGAAAAAAAAAAAATCTGGTTTCTGCGCATACGTTTGTATGTATTTCCATTTATGATCAACTGGATCAGCATGCATGCAGGTTATTTGTTCTTGGAAGACTTGTTTGATTTTATAGAAGCAGAAGAAACCGCTGGCTTCTTCATACTCTTCTTGGTCTTCTTCTTTTTCTTCTTGATCAGTTGGTGGGGCTGAGACTCTGAGGAGGATGAGTTATTCTTTTTTAATTTTCTCTTCATACGACTGATGGAGGCAGAGAGTAACATTTTGACCTTCCTCTTCTTGCCTATAGGAGGAGGAGTCTCTTTGATCATCTCCAGCTTTGGTTTCCATCCCCTTCGAGATCCAACCACCAGCTGCTTGTACTCTTTATGCAACTGTGGAGTGGTGCACAGCAAATCCGTTTCCAGATCTATCAATTCCTTATTTGGTTGGTCCATCATCAGCTGGGATATGAATATTTCTGATACCCGAATCCTGAGAGTCCCTGATGAGGTTTTTTGGATATCAAAGGGTGAGCATGAGCTTGCAGCAGCCTTCTTGAGAAATGCAGCCTTCATCTTCATTATGTTGGCATTACTATCATCCATGTGATCTTGATGTTGACAAGAATTGGCAAAGGATGCAATAGTGACAAAGGAGAGAACTGAGTGGAAGAGACGAGTTGGGAGAAGAAAGTAGGTGTGACCAGGCTGGAGGCGATCGTGTTGGGATAGAGGAGGGATCTTCTGTCCTATGTAGAACGAATCTGATCTGCAAACCATTAAGTCTTGAGTCATAACCTCTGATACCCTGATGGGCTTGTGATAAAGATTAATCTCCCCATCTGGTTTGAACACCTTGATTACTTTTCTATCCTCCTGCTTCTTCTTTTTCTTCTTCTTCTTCTTCTTCTTCATCATCATCTTCTTAGAACTAGTAGTATCGTTATTATTATCTAGTAACACAAGGGATGACGACACCACCGAAGAGGACAGGGAGTCTTGGAATTGCACCCCATTCCCCCCCATCAAACACTGAAAACTACTCATAAACTTCATCCTATCAATCGATCTTTATAAATCTATGCACGCTTGGAATCTGATGATCATAAAAGTAGCTATATATAATTTGTGTAGGAGGAAGGTATATAAGCTAACTAGCTAGCTAGGGTAAGAAGAAGCAGCACATATATATATATATATATATATATATATATATATATTGGATGCCAAATGTGTAGTGGTAGTAGTAGCAGCCTTAAGACGACTAGTTGTTGCCTGCAAGAGAAAACGATCGAGGATCAACCCCTAGTCAGCATATATGTCTACATTGGAAGCCAGTCAGCCAGCCAGCCGTTTTAGAAAGAAATTAATATGGACTCGTGCAATTATTTATTTTATATTCCGCATCAATACAATTTTAGACGATTTGCTTTGACCACAGACAATATAAAAATATACAAAACTTAAATTATATGGTTTTGATAAACGCCTAGAATTAATTAATAATGTCAGATTGTTATGTATGTATATCGGAGACGGATAAAATACAAAGCAAATCATGTGTATAAACCGTGAAAATCGTCGATTTCATTGTTTAATTTAGTTAAAAATTTATGAAATTATTTAATATGATGAAATTGCTTCAAATAATTCATTTCTTGATAAAATTCTTTCATATATTTTTGTTTCAATGTAAAAATTAAATTGTTTCATGTATTTCTCATTTTGATGATTTTTGTTTACTAAAATTAATAAATGTCCATAATTAACGCACTGCATAATAAAAATGACTAATCAAACCCTATAATTAAAAAAAAAGAAAATTATAATTGGTTGAATGAGGTTTTTACGATTTGTACTAATGGTTTGTTTTGCATTTTATCCTTCCCTATCGATATATGCATGCATGTATGTATATATGTGTGTGTGTGTATATATATATATATAGGGAAGGGCTCAAACGAGAACGCGAGTACACCCTTTTACTATAGACAATCACATGTGATACTATTATTTTCATCACATATGATACTAAATCAGAGACGCGGACGATTTCCAATGCGATGTTGGTTGCGGGTCAAGTCGCCCTTACACCACTAAGCCCCTCACATGTATTATCACATATGATAAGGGTGTTATTGATATGATATTATAATCAATCAAGACCATCACATGTTATGCTAAATCATAGACGTAGATGTCACGCCCCAATTTTTTTCTTTCGTTCGAGTGTCATGACGTCATTCTTAATAATTTATGTTATGAACTAAATACGAACTTAAAAATTCAAACATACATAATGTGTTAAACATAACTCGTTACATAATTGTGGAAGCGTAAAATACTTTAACATAATCAATGCTAATTAAAATATCTAATCAAGCATGATTCAAAACAAAGTCTCGTCTTTCTTCATTCGACTCGTCTACTGACAAATGACACCTGAGATATATACATGTATAGTATAAGCTAAAAGCTTAGTGAATACAATATGGTTTCATGATCACATGCACATATAAACAATGTTTTAGTGTATTTTAGTTATTATCTTGCAAGTGAGGCTTCGATTCGTCACTTTTTTTTTGCGTATGTGGCGTATTCTATGGACGAGGACTCAAAGACCTCGGAATTGCAAGCCCTCCTTTCATGTCCAACCCACCCCGTACGATGGACGAATCTTGCCGAATCATACTAGTTGCATATCATTTATTTGCAATACTTACTCATTAATGCAAATCTCATCGTGACATGCAACATACATCTCATGCAAGTGACAACATAAATCACATATGCATCATCGTTATTTTCCACATTATACACATATTTGAATATCATATTGATATATCAAGTCATCATAATCTTTCTCATCAACATCACCTTTCATATCATGTACATACTTAAATATCATGCACATCAATATAATCAAGTTATCATCATATGCATATAAACACATCATGCAAATATCATGGATAAAATACTTTTCTAATAATCATGTATATATCCCATAAAAATCGCATAATTTACTCACCTTAAATCGTTAACGTTCGATAGATCGTTCTCTCAAAAACCGCAACCTACATGATAATTTATATCATTTCTAAGCATCTTAAATAATCGTAATTAAATTGATTACTATTCCTTAGCAATCTTAACACGACTTTTCTTAACATTTTTTTGTTGATCAACCCCCGATACCATCATATCTCATGTTTCTCTCAATTATTTTCTTGAAATATTATTTAATTATATGACGTCGTTATAATATTAATTGTTACTCGTTCATTTTATAAAAATAAGCAATACATTTCACATTTTCTTGAACAATAAGTATTTTACCAAAATAATAAAACTAAATTGTTTGCAACGTAAATAATGTTTTGTGGTCAACACGTTTTTTTTAAGATTTGCAAGTGAATAATGGTGACAATATGTCACACATATAAATAACGATCATTTCATAACTTTAAAGTTCAACATAATTAATACTCGAAATAATGTTTAGAATACCAATTTTCCAATTCTATGGACATTTTGGTAAATCTTAAGAAGTCGAATACCAAAGGTATAGCTTTAACCATTTCCCTAGTTTAGAACATTTTTGGTATATTTCATAAGTCGAATATTAAATCTGTGCTTAAAAGTCCAATCCCAAAGCATAGGGGCATTTTGGTAATTTTATTAAGCAATACTCAAAGTATTGTTAAAATACCGATTCCCTAATTGTGAGGTCGTTTTGGTAATTTCACAAGGATAATAATCAAAAAAGCATAGATACCAATTCCCAATATATAGGGTCATTTCAGTAATTTATAGGGCGAATACGTAAAGTATCGCTAAAATACCGATTTCCAAGTTGTAGGGTCATTTTGGTAATTTCATAGGGAATAGATTTAAAATAACACTTATATACCAATTCCCAAGACATTGGGTCATTTCGGTAATTTTATAAAGCAAATACGTAAAATATTGCTAAAATACCGATTTCCAAATTATATGGTCATTTTGGTAATTTCATAGGGATTAGATTTAAAATAACGTACACTTAGATACTAATTCGCAAGACATTGGATCATTTCGAAAATTTTATAAAACAAATACGTAAAGTATTGCTAAAATACCGATTTTCAAACATATGGTCGTTTTGGTAATTTTATAAAAATAATAATATAAAAATAAAGCTCATAGACTAATCCCCAAGATATATGGTTATTTCGGTAAATTTTGGAAGCAAATACGCAAAGTATTGCTAAAATACCGATTTCCCATTTATAGGGTTATTTTGGTAATGAGATAAATAATCGAAATTGGGTCAAAGTTTGTATTTTACAAAATACAAATAAACTTGATGAAAATCTCATAAAGTTATTATGAAGAAAATTATTCAATTTTTTAAACTTAATTGTTTGTGTATATTAATAATATCAGTGCATAAGATTAACAAAACTTAATGTTAGCTTACTGGTTAACGCGCAAGGCTAAGGTCGCGGGTTTGAATCCCGACCTCAACGCCTTTATTCCTATATTTTTAAAAGGGGTAAACAGACGCGGGTCAGGTCCGACCCATCGGACCCGCTCGACCCGTTGACCGACCCGGCGCCTGACCCAGTCGCACAAGCAGCCATGGCTGAGCGATTTTTGGACTTTTGAGCTTGAAAATGGTTCGTTTCTTGACCATTTTTCTTCATTCTTTTTGCACCAAACTCTTGGTAATATTTTTACCAACACTTTGACATAAAAAACACGAATTTTCATCAAGAAATGAGTTTCATTTACTCATTTAAAGTTTGTTTTTAAAACTAAAACTTAAAAACATAAAAATCGAACCACGAAAACACAAATATGATACATGAGGCTACTGGGGTTTATAGAGTACTTAAAAACGAAGTCATAGACATAAAAATCAAGAGATTTGGTTAAGAATCTCACCCAAMATCGGTGAAAAATCGAGATTTTTTATTCCGAACTTCAAACTCATATTTCTCTCTCAAAACTCAACGATTTTTCTAGCTATTTAAACCAAAATGATCCTAAGCCGGTATTCTATATTTATATGCAAGAGTTTTGGCTTATTAGTTGACGAAATCGGACTAAATCGCGAGTTTTTGGCTGATGGGTCCTTTTCTTCAAACAGATATGTACCATTGGCAAAACAGGTCCCTCATCTTTGAAAAAGATGACATTCGGTCCCCTCAAGTTTCTGACATTTACAGCTAGACCTCTCCTGACGTGATATATTACATTTTTTGTCCAATAATAAAACAAAACAATTTTCTTTTCTTTTCTTTTTTTTTTTTTTTTTTTTTTTTTTTCATTATTTATTTATTTAAGATTTCTACAATTATTGTCTTTAATCTATTACGTAAATATTTTAACACTTCAAATTAATTTAAAAAAATATTTAAAGGCTCATATAATATTATTTGTACATTTTTAAAAAATGGGATTTACAACAGACAACCTTTGGCGCGAGCTAAGTCGTAGAACACGTCGTTTGCACATCATAGGATCCTCTCATGCGTTTCATCGCATGTGATAAAGGTATTCTCGTGTTCTCGTAAAATGGAGGTGTTCTCTTTTAAACCTCCACCTATATACACACACACACACATACACACACACACACACACACATATATATATATATATATATATATAGGTGGAGGTTCAAACGAGAACCTCTGTAATTTACGAGAACGCGAGAACAACCCAATAACCACAAACTTTTTTAATTAATAAATTAGCTTATATTAAATATAAATAAATTAATAAGGACAATAATGTAATTAAGTAATTTTTATCTTATTTTTATCTTATTTTAATTAATTATAATTATCCATTTTTTCTGGACGTTCGTTTCCACTTTCTTCTCTTCCCTTGTGATAATTGTGTGATTGTGTAACTATAACCTATCGAAACCATGATCAATCGAGTGTAATGATAACCTATCAAAACCATGAGTAATCATTATGATAAATGTATGATTGTCTAACCCTAACCAATCGAAATCATGATCAAATTGAGTGCGCAAGTGATGTTATAATAGTGATATCACATGATTATCACACTCATATCACATGATTATCACACCCATATCACATCAAATCGTTTTCGTTGTGATAAATGTGTGATTGTCTAATCCTAATCTATCGAAACCATCTGAAATCGTTGTGACAATGTCTAACCTAACCCATCAAAACATTGATCAAATCGAGTGATATTGATATCACATGATTATCACACCCATATCACAAAATCGTTTAATTGATTTCGTCAGTAATTCGTTGTGATAAATGTGTGATAAACTAATCCTAATCGAATGAGATACCTTGAATTTTTTGAATTTTTAAACTTTTCCGGCGGAATTATTCCGCCAGTAATCCGCCGGTAATATCTTTTCCCATTTTTTTCCAAATATTAATTACTTTTTAAAGATTAATTAACCCTTAATTAATAAATCCGCCGGAAATATAACCGGTTTAATTTTTCCGGCGGATTACCGGCTGATTTCCGGCGGAAGTCAACAAAAGTTGACTTTTTAAAATACCGCCGGTAATCCGCCGGAAAAATTCCGGCGGAATATGTCCGCCGGAAATGCCCAGTTTTCTAGTAGTGATTGTGTTCCTTCTTCTTATTGTTCGATTGTTGCATGCAAACGCTTCTTCTTGATCGATTACTGTTTGATGCTTGATGCTTGATTCCTGCGACTTTACTGCTTCTTTGTTCGTTGATTTCTCCTTGAAATCTTAATCGATACCTAATAAAGATAAGGATAATCACTATAATTTTGAGGATGATCATGTGATCGTGTTTAAGATTTTATGATATTGATTTCCATTATTACCTTTTTGAATCTCAATTTTTTTTAAACTTTTTAAATTTTAATTTTAATTTAAAAAATCTTTTAATTTTAATTTTTATCACAATATGAGATTAATAGATTGTTCTCACGTTTTCGTAAATCACTAAAGGGTTTAAATACAAATGGATTGATACATAAATTAAGTTAGACATGGTTGATGATAGGAAAAAGTTAGCAAAATTTAATTCAAAAAACACAGTATTATCGCAATTACAAATTAAAAAGTCAAAGAAAACCTAACATATAATATGATTTTATTCAGAATTTTCAGTCTCCTAACAATTTAACTTGGATTATGTGAATAATCTAGAATCAAAAATCTATTTTATTATTTTTTTAATACAAAACTAAAAACTCCCATATTAATATAATATGTATAATTGTCATAGCAAAAATCAAACACAAGAACGTCCACATATACGTTTTATGCCGAACAAATAGCCGGGGTTATGAAATATTGATTAAACCAAGAGGCATAGGTCATAAAATGGCTTACGATCCTTAAAATCCAAAAGTATGAAATATTGATTAAAAAACCCTAATTTGTTCTTGAAAAAAAAAAAGAATAAGAAAACTCAAATACATTACCAAAAACAATCATAAGGAGGTCTCTATCTCCAACACTGCTAGAAAACTGGTCATTTCCGGCGCCATTTTCGACGGACGGAATCCGCCGCTAATTTACCGGCGGACACCAAAAAAGTCAACATATCATTGACTCCTATTTCCGGCGGATTTCATAAGTACGTACTTTAATCTTGAATTTACATATAATCTTCTCTCTTTACCGGCGGATTTCCGGCGGATAATTAAATATTTTTTTAAAAAAAAGAATTAACAATTTCCGGCGGACAATTAAATATTTTTTAAAAATTTATTTAACCATTTCCGGCGGATAATTAAATATTAAAAAAAATTACAATTTCCGGCGGATTTCTAAATTTTTTTTACCAATTTTCGGCGAATAATTAAATATTTTCTTTATAAAAAAAAGAAATAACAATTTCCGGCGGAATAATATTTTTTTCTCATTTTTCAAACTTTTCTTTAAATAATGGATCGTATTGAACTTTAACGGATGTTAATGGGATTTAACGGTTCTATTGAGCTTTAATGGATCGTATTGTATTTTAACAGTTATATTGGGCTTTAATGAATGTTAGTTGGGATTTGATGGATCGTATTGGGCTTTAACGGTTCTATTAGGCTTTAATATATCGTATTGAACTTTAATGGATTGTATTGGGCTTTAATGGATCTTATTGGGCTTTAATTGATCGTATTGGTCTTGAATGAACCGTATCGGGCTTTCGTGAACCGTATTGGGTTTTAATGTAATGTATTGGTCTTTAGTGGAACGTATTGGGTTTTGATGGATCGTATTGGGATTTAATGAATATTGGGTTTTAATGAACCGTATTGGGTTTTAATGGAACGTATTAGACATTAATGGATTGTATTGGGTCTTTAATGAACCGTATTGGGCTTTAATGAACCGTATTGGTCTTTAATTAAACGTACTAAGCTTTAATGGAGATTGGGCTTTAATGGAAGTATTGGGCTTTAATGGAAGTATTGGGCTTTAATGGAATATATTGGGCTTTAATGGATCGTATTGGTCTTTCATGAACCGTATTGGGCTTTCATGAACCATATTGGGCTTTCATTAACGGTTTGGGCTTTGGTGGATCGTATTGGTCTTTAATGAACCGTATTGGCCTTTCATAAACCGTATTGGTCTTTAATTGAACGTATTGGGCTTCGACGGAACGATTGGGCTTTAATGGAAGGTATTGGGCTTTAATGGATCGTATTGGGTCTTTAATGAACCGTATTGGGTTTTAATGAACCGTATTGGGCTTTAATGGAACGTATTGGCTTTAATGAATGGTTTGGGCTTTGGTGGATCGTATTGGTCTTTAATGAACCGTATTGGTCTTTAATGAACTGTATTGGGCTTTCATGAACCGTATCCGGCGAGAGAAAAAAACCGGTGGATTTCCGGCTGAAATATCCGCCCGTAAATTAAATTTTCATTTTAAAAATTTTCTTAATTTTTTTATTAAGTAAAAATCAAATTTTCTTAATTAAGTCGGCGAAAGGTTTCCGACGGCCGGAATCCGCTGGAAAAATAAAGCATCCGCCGGAAAACTCGACGGAAAACGAATCACCGGCGCCCTCTTTCCGGCGGACAAATCCGCCGGAAAAACCAATTTCCGGCGGAGTTGTCGCCGAAAAAGAGGGTAATTTTGGTAGTGCAAGTTGCTTGATGCATCACTCGAAGCGAAAGGAATCCTTGCTTTATTGAATAAGAGAACGGTGGTCCTATGACTATTGAGAAAAGTAGGATATCAAGATTAAGAATATGAAAAAGTTGTTCCATGACTATCGAGAAAAATACAGTCAAAATGGGGAAATAGAAATCGCTCTGAAGTGCCCACATCGGAGTCAAAATTATATTCATCCGAATACAACTAAGATCATTAGTGGCAACAACACACCAACTGCTACAACCCATGAATCCAACAATCTTGTCATCATCCACTAAACAAAAACCAGCTTCTGGAACTTAAGATTCATTTGCGTCTAATGAACAAAATTTAACAACTGGCCCTGCAGCTACAGGTCCATAATTGCACCCCTCAGCAGAAGTTTGAAAATAAATATCAACTTATGAATCATCTATCTCTCATCCATAAAGACCATGTTTCATACAGCGAATCTATCTCCAAGATTCGAAGAAGTAAAGCTAATTAAACGAAGCTGTGAAAATGTTGATAAAGGTCGCATTATCGTGTTTGGTGGTTCTTCGTTGATTGGTATTTTTGGAAGTGTTTGATACAGGCTTGGTCTAGAGTGAAGAACGAGCAATGTGCCATCACTGCATCTACAGCCAAATCCTTGATCCTAACTTGATTTAGCTAAATGGATGATGGCATAACTAGATGTATACAGTAAATCAAATGCTTTGGTTGTTGTTACTATTGTGTTGGTGGGCTGGATGTGCTATGAGGTAAGATTTTTTATTGTGCACACAGAAAAAGTTACTTAACATGTTTTATTTATGTTGTCCTATGGGGAATATAGGCCTCAAGCAATTGAATTCTTGGGAACCGAAACTTTTAGAGCCTGAAAAGAATCAAAGTGTGTAGAGCAGTGCGAACTCTTGCCAACACTAAAACAACCATAATAAACAAATGTTGGTTCTTGCTCTCGTTCTTCTGCATGAACTTTTGAAAATGTTGTATGATCTTGGAGCTCTTTTTCAAGCTAACTGATATATACACTGAGCAAGGGCAAAATGCTTGGACCATCCCTGTCTTCTGGCAGGTTTAGGGTTCTCTCTTGTCATTTGTGCTCCTTGGGTGCCATCTCAGAATTCAATACCATAAAAGACACCACCCTACTCCTAGCAGCTATTCCTTTAAAGAGAATTTGTAAAAGTGTAACTAAAGTATAACTTTAGAAAGCAAAATTTGTTTTTAGTTTTTGTTATGACTTATGCAATAAAGTAAACAACATAAACAAGAGTAAAACTTGACATACCAGTTTTATATGGTTCACCAATATTGTGTTAACTAGTTTATGGCTAGCGGGGAGATCAGATTTTTATTAGGTTATGAGGAGTTAGAGTAGAGCTTTCAGAGTGATGGGGTTCTGATTAGCTCGGTCAAAGTATCATCATGAACCTGCAGATTGAACAAGACCCTTGATGGGTTACATGGATAACTCATCTCGTGTTCTATAGTCCCTCAAAATATGCTAAAGGACTCTTCTCGATAAAAACAGAATCTCTTTGCTTCACAGAACCGCTCTAGTATGCTAAACAACTTTTTTGGGGTACGACATAACCCGCTATGAGGATCAGATTGAAGACTTTATTCAATGCATCATTATAATTATATAACGACACATCTTTCGTAAAATAGTTGTACCCAAGTATAGCATTGATGAATGTAAGTTTGTAACTAAATTTGATATTTCTATGTGTTCTTATATACGATCCTAGCATTATTTTGTAACTTAACTTTTAGTAAATTTATTTTTCTGTAAAAGTATAAGTCAAGACAAAAGGTAAAACATATAGAAACCCAACAATATCACCAACCAAATTCAGTTGTTGATCAACATAACTAGCGTTCGCCTATTCGTTTTATAAAGTTTAAGGATAATACAAAAATGGTTTCGATTGGTAATTAAATGGGGTTGATGATGACCACAATCGAAATCCAATAATAATGTGATCTTTACCTTGCTGGTAACCAATGCTTGCCGTTGCGTTTGACGTCATGTCTATAAGGGGAGGGGGAAGACTTGAAAGTTTAAAAACTTGAAACTTTATTATCCTTGGGACCTAGAAAGCAATCAAAACTAGCAACTCTTTTGCTGTCTGTTCACCAAGTACTAGAAACAGGAACCCTCTCTGATGATTAAATAGAGATGTTACTGTATCTAGTGGATCAAGCTATCAAAATAAGCAAAAAAAAATTCTTCCATGATTGTGTTTACCAATCTGATTGTTGTTGGTGTAGACTCTGGTGCTCATGTGAATAAGGTAAGCTCACATCATAGTCTCTTTTCCCACAAAGACTCGAGTGACCTCCTGGCTCTACCCCCAAGAAATCAACAGTAGTTCTTTCACCACCTCCCATGAATACTTGTCTTTCCAAGAGGTTACCAGAATTTTCCTTTGATGAATGCATAAGAAGAGAAGAATCATATAACCCACTCTCAGTAGTAGTACTGATACCATAACCAGTCCTACCGTTCCTACCTATCTCCATGTTCTTGTCAAATAATTCTGGGTTTACAGCATGTAAGCCACTATTGTTACAATTATCCATGGAGGAAACATGGCGAACACTAATGGTTGAGGAGTTAAAGCTACTGGTAGAGTAGCCAGTGAATCCCCTTAAGAGAATTGGGGTGATGGTGTTATCACTTACCTTTGCACCCATCTCAGCTGCTTTCTGTAGCAAGGCAGTTGCTGAGGTGTAAGCAACCATGGGAGAGTTATTTGCACCTACTACTGAAGAGCTGAAGCATGGTCGCATTGTTCTCTGATTGAACATTGTATCCATATGATCATTCAACATGTGGGAGTTTAAAGATAGCGATTTATCATGATTGCTAATAGACATGATGTTTGTGTTTGTGCAGGATCCTGACAGCTCTTGTAATACTCCTCCAGTTGCACCAACTTTTAGGTTCATTTTATAGTTTTCCTCCGTCAGTGCATCGCAAAAGGCTCTGTGGGTGACAAAGCTGTCCTTCCTGCACAAAAAGAAAAGAAATTAGTACTGAACATTCATAGAATACTGGAGTGAAACATATATATATATATATATATAGAGAGAGAGAGAGAGAGAGAGAGAGAGAGCGAGATAGAGTAGTATAAAGAAAGAAAATAGATATAAGGATGCATGACAATTAAACCTTGAAAATATGGTGCCACAATCACAACGGTATTCACGTGTGCCACAGATCTTGGCATGAGCCTTCCAGTCGGACTGTACAGCATAACGTTTGGAGCACTTGTCACATTTCCATTTCTTCTCCCCATGCTTCCTACAGAAATGCTTCTTTATGCCTGTCAAATCACCTAGAGCCCGAGTAGGTTCATGGTGCACACAGTTTGGCTCAGGACAAACATACACCCTCTTCTTCACTTGAATGTTGGCTGGCCTTTGCTTTAGCTTCCATGGCAAATTGTGACCTCTCCTGTGGAGTTGAAGATTCTGATCTCTCTGAAATCCTTTATGGCAAACTTCACATATATAGCGGTTTGTGGCCATTAGAGTCCTTGGAGACAAGGCCACAACTTCCGCTTCAGGATCTGAAATTAATGTTTAAAAACCATCAAGTTAGTAATATACATACAGTTGATCCTAGTCTTAAAAAATTTATAGAAATTAAATAAGGAAACGGGAAATGGAAAAAAGAAACTAGTTAATTAGCATATATTAGTACCCGCGCAATGCGGCCGGAGCCATGAATTTTAACGATTTTGAAGTTCCACTGGTTTTATAAGATAAGATTTAACGATAATATAGGTTACACTTGGTCTTTACATATTAATACAATTTGAATAAATAAAAGTTATGGTTCCAATTATAGACTATCAATGAAAAAAAAATGTATGACAGTTTAAAATCCAATATATTTAAAATTCAACATATTTAAACGATTCCACAAATGTGTTCGATTTACACCAAGAGCAAAGAACCAAGAAACTTGAGTTTTAAGATAAACACTCAAAACYAATAAAGAAAACTACAAATTTGACAGATCATAAGTCATGAAAAGACCAAAAAAGATGGGTTTTAGAATGAAATTTCAACTGTTTACCCTCTTTCTTGTCCATAATATACAGTGCAATTTGGACAATCTAACGCCAAAATATATAGTATATATAAATAAATAACTATAAAAGTATAAATCGTAAATCGTAAATATTAAAAATATTTTTTCACAGTATATATAATATATAATAATATAATTAAGTCAAAAATTATTTAGTAATTTAAGACTTTAAGACTTTTGCTTAATAAGATAGTATAGATATATATATATATATATATATATATATATATATATATATGTATGATCTTTCTAAGGAAAAGAGGCGGTTAATGGTATGAAGAATTGAGTCATGCATTCTTTTCCAAGGAATATTAGATTTGAAATACAGATTCGATATGCTACATGGGTAACAAAAAGCAAACATAAAACTGTAGCTTGCCTGGATTCCCAGGGAGATTGCGTTTCTTCTTTGATGTTGTATTTGTAGGATGAATGGAATTTTCAGGACTTCCATGTGATGCTTGCATGAGTGTAGTGGTGGGGAATTGCTCGTCATCATCATCTTGGAAATCTTGGACAAAGTTGGACATGCTTGAAGAAAAGTTTAATTATATATTACTAATTCATGAAGTTGATGATTAATGTTTATGTTGGGAAGAAGGGAACCACTAATATATGGGGGGTGGAGTAGCAAGGCAGACAAAAGGAAGAGGTTCCAAACCGTCCATAAGAATCATTCTGCATTAATTAATGAAGCATATGATAAAATTGTTTGGAAATGCAGATACAAATATAGACAAGCAATGGGACTCCAAAAAGAGAGATCTGTATAAAGAGACAACTTGGCCTTCTTCATATGTGGATTACTTTATAAGGGATGCCTCATCATTTGTCGTTCAGTTTACACTCTATTCTTTGTTTGTTTATACTAATATTTGATACTACTTTCTCTCTTTATTAGATAGGTGGATGGATGTGCTCATGTCATTTGATGTAAAAGACAAAAACACATAATTAATTAAGTGAATTACATTTTCTTCCCTCGTCTATGACTCTTTTATGATTTTCGGTCCTATCATTCATAAAGTACACAGGTGGTCTACTTTTTGTGTTTTTCTGTCCAATATAGCCCCCNAAATGAACACCATTACTCCCCTCCCCACTCCGGTGAACACTATTCTCTCCCCTCCCTTGTCTCCGAAGCAAACACCATAATTCATGGTTCCCTTCAAATATTTGAATAACCTTTTTACCGTTTGTCAATGATGAGTACTCGGTCTACCAGTAAACCGACTCAATCTACCAACGGCATAGGCAATATCCTGTCGAGAGTTTGTCATGGCATACATGAAGCATATGATTGTCTTAGATTATTCTAATTGTGAAACGGCTTCACCCTCGTTGAGCATAAGCTTTTCAGTTGGATCCACAGGCGTACTTACGGGTGAACAATTTAACATGTTAAATTTCTTTAACACTTTCTAAACTTAGTGAGATTGTGTTATGGCCAAACCTTTGTTCTCCCATTTAATCTTATCCCAAGGATCACTTCATTGAGAATTGAGATGACAAAAATTCTTTTGTCAAAACAACATGTCTTGTTCTGTCCCAAAGATTAACATATCATCAGCATGTAAATAAATTGTGATGCCTTTATCGTTATTATCAACACATTTGTCCGATTGGTTTAAATGAAAACCATGGGACAAAAAGACTTCATCAAACTTTTGATGCCACTTTTTTTGGGTCTATTTTAGACCATAAAGTGATTTAATTAATTTACACACTTCATATTCGTTCTCCGGCATCACAAAGCCTTATGGTTGCTTCATACAATTCCTCCTTTAAATCACCTTTTAGGAATGTCGTTAGCTTATAGAGAGGCCCACGGTATAATGGTCCAGCTAGAACCAGTTGGATCTCCCCCAAGGACCGATCCCTAAGGTAGGTGGGGAGGTAGGTCTAGGTAGTGAACAAGAAGAAGACAATGAGTAGGGGGCGTAGAGGGGGTGCCTCTGGTTCTGCTTTAGACTCTTCTGATGGTGAAGATGATTTATCGAATGGAGGAATGCCTATTGCCGTTGAATCCTCATCTTCAGAGGATTCTGACTCCTCAAACAATGATGAAACGCCCAACAACATTGAACACCTACCATCTCACATCGGTGCAATACCAGAGATTACGGAGTCCAACAATGAAGAAGAATCAATCCATGATGTTGTTGTCATGGATCTTGATCTAATTGTATCAACAGCAGTGGGTGACATAAGAACGGATGAGGGAGGAGTTAAAAATGTTGAGAGAATGAGTGATGGGACGGAGCGTGAGAAACGGAAAAAAAAAATTGTGAGGACTGTTCACTACCCACCATAAGCCAGATACTCACATCTACTATCGGGTCTCATCTGTTGGGATCCGGTATTGAACAAGCCGTAATGGACCCAGCTACGCAATTACACACCCTTCATATCCACTCTAGCACCTCTCAACAGGTGTTAATTTCATCAAGTCATGGGGATGAACCACATATGTTATCCACCTCTCACTCGGAGAGTGTGGATATTGAAATAAGTAGACCGCTGCCCCAGTCTACGCCATCATTTGTGTGCACATCCAGTCTAGCGCCTGATACAGCTTTTAGGACACAAACACCTGGAGCATCTGTTGCTCAACCAGCGGTTCTTCGTGAACCCGCTGGAACATCCAGAGTGGTATCTTCTACATGATGGAAACCCTACCAGTACCACATCTCTGCCAACATTGAATGTAGGTCACACAGTTGATTCAACTGTCGTGTCAACAGGAAGGCTCAGTGCCCCTAGTGTTATCTTACTCGAAACAACCACATAAGTGTTGACAGGTGCTCTAGTTGTGGTTCAAGCATCCATGCACAAGCAGGTAGATGAGCTGAAGCGACTACTGAAGGACAAATCCATCATAGAGCACATGAGTCCAACTCCACCACCACTGCGACCATCAACTCCTGAGAGCCTAGGCAACCAGCTGAATGCTCAACTGAAGAGCTGAAGTCTCTTATATATATATATATATATATATATATATATATAGGGGTGGGTTCAAATAAAAACCACTCAATTTGTAAAAACYRTGAAAACCTCATTCAACCAATCATAATTTTTCATTTTGTTCATTTTTTTGTAATTATGAGAGGTTGATTAACCATTTTTATTGTAGAGGGTGTTAATCATGG